ATGCAAATCAAAACCACACTGAGATACCGCCTAACCCCAGTCAGAATAGCAATCATCAACAACTCAAAAAATAACAGCTGCTGGAGAGGGTGTGGTGAAAAGGGAACACTTCTACACTGTTGGTGGGAGTGTAAACTAGTGCAACCTCTGTGGAAAGCAGTGTGGCGATTCTTAAAAGCTCTAAATACCAACCTCCCATATGACCCCGCAGTCCCCCTACTGGGAATATATCCTGAAGAACACAAATCACTCTATAAAAAAGATACCTGCACACGCGTGTTTATCGCAGCATTGTTCACAATAGCAAGAACCTGGAAACAGCCATGCTGCCCATCAGAAGAGGACTGTATTAAAAAAATGTGGTACATATACACGATGGAATACTACGCAGCCATAAAAAAGAACAAAATCATGAATTTCGCAGCAACCTGGATGGAACTAGAGTCTATAATACTGAGTGGCCTCTCACAGAAGCAAAGATCCAAGTATCACATGGTCTCACTCATATAATGGACCTTAAACATCCAATGCAATACTATACAAAAATGACTGACCGTACTGGGAAACTATGGTGGGGGGAGGGAGATGGGATTAACAGTAGCAAATATCTGTCTGGGAACGGGGAAACACCCCATATCAACAGGGTGCCTGAATGAACGCAATTGTATACCTAACCCTTAACTGTACCCCACAACTTCACAATAAAAAAAAAAGGACTTAGTAGTAGTAGTATGTGAAGTTTCCATATAATTGGGAGGAGACAATAAGGTTGACAGAATAGATTGCCCAAAAGCTTGTAATAACTCTTTTCCTTTTCAACCTGTCTTTTATAAGCTCTGTGACTTAGCAAGGGTTGTTGGGAGAATGAGACAGTATTTTGCCTTTTTTTTTTTTGAGTTAGAGTCTCACTCTTACCCAGGCTGGAGTGCAGTGGCATGCTCATGGCCACCCCAGCATCAACGTGCTTGGCTCTGGCAATCCTTCCGCCTCAGCCTTCCAAGTAGCCAGAACTACAGGTGTGCGCTATCACGTCCAGCTAATATTTTGCTGTCTTAAATATAGGTAGGATAAAGCTGTGTCTTGAACTTCCTTGAATCCTTCATAATACATTGAAGAGCATACAGTAGGCACACAGCAAATACTGAGTTGATTAATGGGATCATTTAGTGTTTACAGTTATTTTAGAAGTACTTTACTGGCTGGACACAGTGGCTTATGCCTGTAATCCTTTGGGAGGCCAATGCAGGAGAATTCCTTAAGCCCAGGAGTTCAAAACCAGCCTGGGCAACATAGCAAGATCTGTCTCTACAAATAATAGAAAAAAATTAAATGAGCATGGTGGCACACACCTATAGTCCTAGCTACTCAGAGGTTGAGGTGGAAGGATCACCTGAGCCCAGGAGGTCAATACTGTGGTGAGCCATGATCATGTCCCTGCACTTCAGCCTGGCCAACAGAGTGAGATTCTTACTCAAAAATAACAACAAAATGAAAACAAAACCAAAAAGAATTATTTTCTGCCTATAAATTGATAGCAGTAAGTTTGTAAAGAAGCAGTGGTTATAATTTGTAATTTATTGCATCAGTAGAAATAGCTTCCAAATTAATGTAAACATCCACGAATATTAAGTTGTTTATGTAATAAATGTCATTGATTTCAATAATTTTACCTCAAGGGAAAAAAAAATGCCATTTCAAAAGTTAGTGGGTAAGAGCAGATCATCTCTAGAGGTAGAATGATACAGGTTTTTTTCTTTCTAGATTAAACATTTCTTTTTGGTATACAGCTTTCTTGAGTTACATTACTTTTAAAATCAGAAACATTTAAATTGATGTTAGAGGCAGATTTTTAAAACAACTGTACTTGGCTGAGATTTGCTGAAGTTTTCTGTGTATGTTTATACAGGGAAAGCATGAAGGCAGTGACAACTGAAGATAGAGAAATGAGGAAAAATAAGGAAGAATATTTAACTTTTAGTCCTCTTACAGTTGTAATATTTGTGATCATCTGCTGTGTTATGATGGTCTTGCTTTATTTCTTCTACAAATGGTTGGGTAAGGAATCATATTTTATGTTTGCTACTTTTAGCATGCATTCTTTTCATTGACTTTACCAAGTTTATCTTTTCCTTTAAAGTAGTCTACCTGAATAACTTTAGTGAATAATTTGTTGATGTTAACTCTTTTTGGTCAGAAGTGTTAGGTCTCTGTTACTCTGAGATAAAAAATATTTTGATTAAAAATACACCATGTCTTGAGAGAAGAACACTTCTTCATGGATGACTTGAAAAAAATTGCTATGGGTCCTAAGTTTCCTTCTCTACAAATAAAGAATGAAAGCTCAGTATCTAAGCAGCAGACTAAGGTGTTCTTGTTAGCTATAGTTACATGAAATGGAAGATTTTTGAAATTGTTTATTTATTGCCTCTGCTTATCCCTAGAGTGTAGTTTATCCTTTTGTCAGCTTGTAAATCAAGATATTAATTGCTTGCATTTTGTTTTACTTGTACAGGCAGTTAGAATCATACTATATCTGAGGATACACAGGTTCTTTACAGTGGTCGACAGAGTTACTGGTACTTTTTCCCTTTAAGAAAGTAAGAGTAGGAACTGTAATGTCTTGTCCATCCCTGGGACAATCTTTTTTTATTTTTATTTATAATTTTATTTTAAAAATAGAGATGTTGCCCAGACTAGTCTTGAATTCCTGGGCTCAAGCCTTCCACCTGCTTCAGCCTTCCAAAGCACTGGGATTATAGGTGTGAGCCACTGTGCCTGGACCCCCTGGACAATCCTTTTTTTTTTGAGTTGGAGTCACTCTCTCACCCAAACTGGAGTGCAGTAGCACACTCATGGCCACCCCAACATCAACCTGCCAGGCTCTGGCGATCCTTCTGCCTCAGCCTTCCAAATAGCTGGAACTTCAGGCTGCACTTCCATGCCTGGCTAATTTTTGATTTATTGTAGAAACGAGTTCTTGCCAAGTTGCCTTGGGCTGATCCTCAGGCAATCTACTCGCCTCGGCCTCCCAAAGTGCTGGGATTGCAAGCTGAGCCACCAAGCCCAGCCCTGGACAATCTTATTAATGCTCTGACAGGATGGAAATTTGTTATCCCTTATCTAGTATATAGCATACACAGAAGGAAGACCAGGGAAAGAAAGTGTGCCTGATAAGACTAGCAAAAACCCTTTGTAAAAACTACTGAAGACTACAGTGCTTATTTGGAAAATATAAGCATAAACTTCTGGGCTAGATAACTAAAGCCCTAGGACTAGTTTCAGCTTCTTGTTTATTTTCTCCTGTCCTGGGGCAGCAATTTAAAAACTAAACCTATTACGTATATTTCCTATTTCTAAAAAAAATCTTTCTGTGAATATTACTCATTTCAATCTGCTGCTCAGAGAATAGTAGTATTAGGATGGTATTTGTTTATGTTGGAATTGAACAGCTAATTTTACTGATTTAATACTCAGTCTTCAATTGTTTAAATGTGTGTCTGACCCAATTGATAGTGGTCATTGATAAAAAAAAGAGAGTACTCTGTCCTACCATAAAGCATGTTTTAATTTTTAGTAAGAAATCTCCTTAAATGAGCCCGCAGGTTCGAGACCAGCCCAGGCAACTTGGCAAGACCTTGTCTCTACAATAAAACAAAAAATAGTCGAGCATGGTAGCGGGCATCTGTAGTTATGGCTACTTGGAAGGCTGAGGCAGAAGGATCGCCAGAGCCCAGCACATCGACACTGGGGTGGCCATGAGTGTGCCCCTGCACTCCAACCTGGACCAAGGAGTGAGACTCCAACTCAAAAAAAAAAAACAAAAGAAATCTCCTTAAACTCATCACTGTCTAAAAAGTTAACTTTGTTTATAAATGTAATTTTTGATGTAAGAAGGTTATCTTCCTTTCATGGTTATCCTAGAACACAGGATTTAATTTTCATGGCAATGTTTTGTGTGATATTACACGATTTCATTTATCTCAGAATGGTTTTTGTGGCTAAATTTGCTACCATTTCTTAATCTTCTAAATAATGGGATTATTTAAAACTGGAATTTTAAATAACTCCTAATTGCTAAGTTTACCCCTGCTATGCTTATGATTAAATCATGCTCAAGAAAGTAACTGAAAATTAGTTATATTAACCAAATTCTTTCCCATGCCCAATTGTTTTCTTGGCTATAGTACGATATTGAATGAAACACTGGAAACTGTTAGAGCTTCAAGAAACATGCTTCCCACCAGTGTTTTCAAACTTGGGTTGGACAACTTTGGTAGATGACTTATCCAAATCAACTTGGCAGTCTTTGTCTGTCTTACAACTCACATTACCAGCCAGGCTCGGTGGCTCAGCCTATAATCCCATGCCTTTGGGAGGCTGAGGTGAGTGGATTGCCTGAGCCCGCGGGTTCGAGACCCGCCTGGGCAGGCGAGACCTCATCTCTACAATAAATCAAAAAATTAGCTGGGCGTGGTACCGCGTGCCTGTAATTCCGGCTACTCGGAAGGCTGAGGTGGAAGGATTGCCAGAGCCCAGCAGGTCGAGGCTGCGGTGGCCGGTACTCCAGTCTGGGCGACAGAGTGAGACTCCAACTCAAACAAAACAAAACAAAACAAAAAAAACTCACATTACCATACATTACCAATAATATAAAGTAGTAACAAATAACTCATATAATTCTTACTATGTGCCAGATACTGTTCTAAACACTTTATATGTGTTATCTAATCCTCATAATAATCCTAAGATAGATATTATTACCTTTTATATGTTGCCATGAGAACTGAGGGACTAAAAAAGTAATTTGTGCAAGATCACCAATTAGAAAGTGGCCATCTCCAATTTACCATGTCTGGATTACTCTTGCACACAGGCAGAGGTATACGTAGTTTTCTGAAATTACTGGAATTTACTGGAATTTGAAAAATTCCAGTGTACTTTGTATTTCCAGTGTGAATTTTTGAGAAAGTCCAGAAAAGGAATATTTGACCCCTTTTAAAAACAAAGAGGTCAAGTGTTTTTAATTTTAAATAATTCTCAAGTGTGAATACTATGGAAAAATAGGCCAGGCACAGTGGCTCACACCTGTAATCCCAACACTTTGGGAGGTAGAGGTGAGAGGATTGAATGAGCCCAGGGGTTTGAGACTAGCTTGGGAAACTTGATGAGACCTTTTCTCTACAATAAATAAAAAATAACCGATGTGGTTTCACACGCCTCTAGTGCCAACTGCTTTGAAGGCTGAGGCAGAAGGATTGCCTAAGCCCAGTTGGTCGAGGCTGTAGTGGCCATGAACATGCCACTGCATTCCAGCCTGGGTGACAGAATGAAACTCTGACTCAAAAAAATATATATATGGATACTACAAAAAATACTTGTAATTTAGTATTATAGCATTTAAAATAAGTTTATTTAAATGTATTTGGTTTTACCCATAGGTTGTTACTGTAGATAAATTCCTCAAAGGAAAATATAGTTAACATGGTTAAAGCTTAAGGCAAATGTTCTTATCCTAAACTGCATTTTTAAAAGTGTTTCTTAATGGTTTATTAATTCTTCCATTTCTTACATTTAAATTAAGTATTCAGAAATGTCTGTAACTCACTTCATAGAAATCTTTAACAGACATGTCAGTTTGAATTACTGAATGACAGGAAATATAGAGCCTGCTTCAGCCCCTTTAAACAATCCAGGATAATGGGACTAAGACATCATATAAAATACTCTTAAAAATGAAGATCTAGCCGGGCTTGGTGGCTCAGCCTGTAATCCCGCGCCTTTGGGAGGCTGAGATGAGTGGATTGCCTGAGCCCGCGGGTTCGAGACCCGCCTGGGCAGCGAGACCTCATCTCTACAGTAAATCAAAAAATCAGCCGGGCATGGTACCGCATGCCTGTAATTCCGGCTACTTGGAAGGATCGCCGGAGCCCAGCAGGTCGAGGCTGCGGTGGCCGGGAGCGGCCACTGCACTACACTCTAGGTGACAGAGTGAGACTCCAACTCAAAAAAAAAAAAAAAATCAAGATCTAGGGCAGGGCATGGTGGCTTACACCTATTATCCCAGCGTTTTGGGAGGCGGAGGTGAGAAGATTGCCGGAGCCCGCGGGTTCAAGACCAGCCCGGGCAACTTGGCGAGACCTCACCTCTACAATAAATCAAAAAATTAGCCAGACATGGTGGCACGTTCCTGTAGTTTCAGCTACTTGGAAGGCTGTTGTAGAAGGATTGCCTAAGCCAAGCAGAGTGAGGCTGCGATGGCCAGGAGCATGCCACTGCCCTCCAGCCAGGGTGACTCCAACTCAAAAAAAAAAAATCAAGATCTAGGCCAGGCATGGTGATTCATGCCTATAATCCCAGCACTTTTGGAGGCCAATCACTTGAGCCAGAAGTTTGAGATCAGGCAGGACAACATAGCAAGATCCTGATTCTGCAAAAATATTTAATGCTAAAGGAGAGAGGGAATGAGGAGGGCCATACAACCACACACTGAGTATCAGGTCCACTATCAGGGGAAGAGACGACCCACTAGAAATCCAGACCTCGCCTGCACATAATTTGCTTATGTAGTAATTCCTCACATGTTCCACAAAACTCTAAAATTAAAAATAAAAATAAAAAATTTAAAAAAACTAACCAGATGTGGTGGCATGCTACTGTAGTCCTAGCTACTAATGAGGCTAAGACAGGAGGACTGCTTGAGCCCAGGAGGTTGAAGCATCAGTGACCTATGATTGCACCACTATACTCCAACCTGGGCGACAAAGCAAGACCCTGTCTCTTAAAAAACAAAAAAAGGAAAAGAAAACCCCAAAAACCTCAAGGTCTAAATATTTTCAGCTTAGTAGCTAATTTAGATAATAATCACTGCATTGAAAGGATCATGTTCCTATAAAGAAAGTTGAATATTTAATATTACTTATATAGATATTTTCCTATCACATTTCCTTCTCTTGACATATAATGTCTTATTTTTTTCTAGTTTATGTCATGATAGCAATTTTCTGCATAGCATCAGCAATGAGTCTGTACAACTGTCTTGCTGCACTAATTCGTAAGATACCATATGGACAATGCGTGTATGTATCTCTTATGGGAAATCTTATAATGTTGGTATTTGTAATTTAAAACAATAAAGTTGCTGTGTGCAGTGGCTCATGCCTGTAATTCTAGCACTTTGGAAGGCCAAGGTAGAAGGATTGCTTGAGCCCAGGGGTTCAAGACCAGCGTAGGCAACATAGTGAGACCCCCGCAACAAAAAATTTAAAAATTAACTGGGTTTGGTGGTGCACACCTGTAGTCTCAACTACTCAGGAGGCTAAGGCAGAAGGATTGCTTGAAATCAGAGGTTCGAGACCAGCCTATGCTACATAGTGAGACCTCATCTCTACAAAAAAATTAAAAAATTAGCTGGGCATAGTAGTGCATACTTGTAGTTCCAGCTACTCAGGAGACTGAGACAGGAGGATGACTTGAGTTCAAGAGTTTGAGGCTTCAGTGAGCCATGAGGTGAGGTGCAATTAAGCCACTATACTCTAGCCTGGGTGACAGTGAGAACCCAATTCAAAAAAAAAAGGAAGAAGAAGAAAACAATACAAAGAAAAGTAGGAGTGTTGTTTTAAACCTGTGCAGTCATATTTAGCCAATCTGACCCCATAGCTAAATTTAAATTAAAGTAAAATAAAATTTAAAAATTCTGCCAGGCTCGGTGGCCCAGCCTGTATCTCAGCACTTTGGGAGGCCGAGGTGACTGAATTACCTGAGCCTGCAGGTTCAAGACAAGCCTGGGCAACTTGGCGAGGCCTCATCTCTATAATAAATCAGAAATTAGCTGGGCATGGTAGCATGCGCCTGTAGTTTTGGCTACTTGGAAGGCTGAGGCGGAAGGATTGCTGGAGCCCAGCAGGTCGACACAGGGATGGCCGTGAGCGTGCCACTGCCCTCCAGTCTGGGCGATGGAGTAAGACTTCAACATAAACACACACAAAAAATTCAGTTTCTCATTCTCATTAGCCATATTTCAAGTGCTCAGTAACCATGTGACTAGTAGCTACTCTATTGGACAGCACAGATATAGTCCATTTTCATAATCACTGAAAGTTCTATTGGTCTGGTAAATGTTTTATTATATCTCATTTGTTTTATTTAAAAATCAAGACTTTTAAATTGGTATTTCAGTCACTTGTTATGACTGTGGTTAGCATTTCATACTTTATAACAGATGAACATTGTCTTTCATTTGCAATGTAAACTAAGTTATTTCAATCTGTTTTTTAGGATTGTGTGTTGTGGCAAAAGCACTGAAGTGAGACTTATTTTTCTCTCTGGACTATGCATAGCAATAGCTATTGTTTGGGCCATTTTTCGAAATGAAGATAGGTATGAATACTCAAGTCCTTTTGATTTTAGATTAAGGATGGATAATTTTATATCTTGCTCTGATACTTATTTGTTATGATTATTACGGAATTTTTTTGTTTTTATCCCAAAATACCACTCTTGAAATGAACTACTCTTTAAATAAGCAGATTTTTTACTAATGGGTTTGAACTCATATAGAGAAGGAAATATGAAACATAATTTAAACATCCAGACTGAAATAGACTTTAAAAATATACTTAATTTTGAAGTCGGGTGTGGTGGCAGGGTGTGGTGGCAGGTTCTGTAATCCCAGTACTTTGGAAGGCCAAGGCAGGAGGATTGCTTGAGGCCAGGAATTCAAGACCAGCCTGGACAACATAGTAGAACCTCATCTCTACAAAAAAATTTAAAAAGTAGCCAGGCATGGTGGCATGTGCCTGTAATCCCAGCTGCTCAGGAGGCTGAGGTGGAGGGATGCCTGAGCCCAGGAGTTGGAGGCTGCAGTGAGCCATGATCTTGCCACTGCATTCTATCCTGGGCAACAGAGTGAGTCTCTGACTCAAAAAAAAAAAAAAAAAAAAGAAAGGAAAGGAATATATACATTTAATTTTGGTATAGCCACTCAATGGTGTGCAGTGCAACTCCAAAGAATAAAGAGCTCTATGAATTGATATGCAGTTATTCCAGGATGTTTTTTGTTTTTGTTTTTGTTTTTTTTTGAGTTGGAGTTTCACTCAGTCACTCAGACTGGAGTGCAGTGGCCGCTCCCAGCCACCGCAGCCTCGCCTGCTGGGCTCCAGCGATCCTTCCACCTTAGCCTTCTGAGTAGCCGGAATTACAGGCATGCGCTACCATGCCTGGCTGATTTTTTGATTTATTGTCGAGATGAGGCCTCGCTGCCCAGGCGGGTCTCGAACCCGCAGGCTCAGGCAATCCACTCACTTCAGCCTCCCAAAGGCACGGGATTACAGGCTGAGCCACCGAGCCCGGCCCAGGATGTATTTTTAAATGAAAAAAACAAAGTGCAAAAAAATACATAGAGTATGCTACATGCAGGAAAGAAGGGTATATAAGAAAATATACAGGTATCTGTCCCTTTGCAGGAAGGATAACCAGAAAAAATATATACTTAGATTTGTTTAATGATTCATTAATAAGATTATTGAAGACCAAAAGGTTTTAATGGCCTGAAATTTGGGAAACAAAGTCCATACAGTTTTGGCAGCTTCAGAGAGGATAATTGATAATCGTGCGTGTCAGTTTCTGATAGAGTAAGTTGCATAGCTTTTGTTTTCTTTATGTTCAAGATATCTGAATGTATATTAACAGCAATATCCTTTATTAACAACTACCTTCTAGAAAGAGACATGTATAAGTTAAAAGATTAAAGATAAATATGCACTTATGTTCTTCTGAGGTAACCTTTCAACTTTTTTTTAGTATACTAGTATTTATTATTCAACCAGGATAGTAAATTACTAAGTATGGAAAATATGAGGAGTTTTTGTTGTTATACTTACTGTTTAATAATTAGTCAAATCATAACAATTGATTGGTATAACTTTAGTGGTCTTTTTTTTTGATGTTGCATCTACAAATAACTAGATAAAGTAGTAGAAAATAATATCTTTTTATTTTAGGTGGGCTTGGATTTTACAGGATATCTTGGGGATTGCTTTCTGTCTGAATTTAATTAAAACACTGAAGTTACCCAACTTCAAGGTAAAGTATACTTTTTGGCTAGTTAAAATAATTTATTCAGCCTGGCTCGGTGGCTCAGCCTGTAATCCCGCGCCTTTGGGAGGCTGAGGTGAGTGGATTGCCTGAGCCCGTGGGTTCGAGACCCGCCTGGGCAGCGAGACCTCATCTTCTACAATAAAATCAAAAAATCACCCGGGCACGGTAGCGCATACCTGTAATTCCGGCTACTCAGAGGCTGAGGCGGAAGGATCGCCAGAGCCCAGCAGGTCGACGCTGTGGTGGCCGGGAGCGGCCACTGCACTCCAGTCTGGGCGACAGAGTGAGACTCCAACTCAAAAAATAATAATAATAATTTATTCTTTTAAAAACATCTTTACTAAGGTACTTTTTTTTACAATTAAATGCGCCCATTTTAAGTATACTGTTTGTTGAAATTTTATAAGTGTATATAACTTTGTAACCACCATCCCAGTGAAGTTATAGAACATCTCATCTAAAAAAACTCTATCATGGCCTTTTGCAATCAATTCAAACTCCCAGGCCCAGGCAACCACTGATTTGCTAGCTAAAATATTTTAATCATTCATATAATATGCCAAATTCTTAAAAATATTTTTAGGACTAAATATGAGGAAAGAATATTTCTTTGATTTAGTGATTTTTTTTTTAAAAAAAGAGAGATGGGGCAACCTCCTCTGGTCCCATCCTACTCTGGGAGCTTTTCTGTCCTCTCAATAAATCCTGTTTTTAAAAAAAGAGAATGAGAGAGAGAGAGAGATAAAGAAGATAAGGGTTTTAGTAGAATAAAGCTATACATAGTAATAACCATAAAATGCCTTTTTAAAAAATAGTATTCCCTGGGAGGCTGAGGTGAGTGGATTGCCTGAGACCGCGGGTTCGAGACCCGCCTGGGCAACTTGGCGAGACCTCATCTCGACAATAAATCAAAAAATTAGCCGGGCGTGGTAGCGTGCGCCTGTAGTTCCAGCTACTTGAAAGGCTGAGCAGAAGGATCGCCGGAGCCCAGCAGGTCAAGGCTGCGGTGGCCGGGAGCGGCCACTGCCCTCCAGTCTGAGTGACAGAGTGAGACTCCAACTCAAAAAAAAAAAATAGTATTCCCAGCCTAGGAAACATAGTGAGACCTTCTCTCTACCAAAAAAAAAAAAAATTCAAATGAGCTGGGCATGGTGGCACATGCCTGTAGTCCCAGTTACTTGGGAGGCTGAGGTGGAAGGATTGCCTGAGCCCAAGAGGTTGAGGCTGTGGTGAGGCATAATTGTGCCACTCCTCTCCAGCCTGGTGTCACAGTGAGACCCTGACTAAAAAGTGAAATAGTTTTCAAATGTATGCTCACATGTTTATTTGTGTTTGTAAAATAATTTAATCCCTTAACTTAGATATGAAAAGGTTAACTTTTAAATTTGTTTCTTCAACAGTCATGTGTGATACTTCTAGGCCTTCTCCTCCTCTATGATGTATTTTTTGTTTTCATAACACCATTCATCACAAAGGTATGACTATATTTTTTAAATTTATGAAGAAACATGCTGAAATACTAGAACCTCTCACCTGCTTTTAGATTATTAATTTTGTAGATGTTTACCACTGAGTGAGTTCTAAGAGATTTGTCATTGAAATTGGCCTTACAATAGTGGGTATTTGAAGCCTTTAATCTATTGGTTAGATTTAAAAATGTCTCCTGAGGAAAGGTATTGAGTGAGTTTTGTAGTTCATTATTTGTCCAGTTTTTTGACCTAGACCCTTTTCTATTTCATGTATATGTTATTAATCACTGCTTAATTTTCACACTTTGCCCCATTTTCAGTCTTTGAAACTTTATATCATTTTTTTATCCTTTGCCACTCTCACATATATAGTATCTGATGTTCACTACTTTTCTTCTTATTCTTTATCCATTCTTTAGAACCTCCCCTCTATGGAATCATTGTAAAATCTGTACTTCTGATATTTGCTGTAATGGCAAAAGGACCAACGTGCCCTATTAGGGAGCTAAAACTACAGTAGGTAACAAATATAGTTAACGTCCCCAGATGATAGCTATTCAAACTATTTTACTAGCACCGTCCCATGCCTTTATGGTGAGTGACTTGACTCATTGACTTAACTGAACAATAGTAACCTTAAAAAAAAAAAGCATAGAACTAGTATTATGCATTATAGCTAAAATTATTAATTTAAATTAACAGCATATTTTTAGTTCTCTCTAAAGCTGTTCTAGCTTGTTTCAATTTACTTTATTCAAAAACATTTTTGTAGGCTACTCCATCAGAAATCACATAATAAAAGTGAAGTACTCTCTCTACAAAGCCATTTTTCCATAAGTCAGCAGATAATCCATATATGACACTTTAATTACATAGTAGATATAACTATAAACTGTAACTAAATTCTTTATTAAAATAATGTTTCCATTCTAACACTAGTGTCATTTTGGGAATGCCAAGCATGTCTGCCAGCAAATGATTTCCATTTCCTACACATAAAATGTTTCAGAATTTTAAAAGTATAGGATAATGACAAAGATATCTTTCAACTTTATTTCTTTTTTCTGTGTTTAGGAAAATTTTCATCATCTTTTTTCTATCTTAGATCTGCTGACTAGGAATGTGATTTTTTTTTTTTGAGTCTCACTTTGTTGCCTAGGCTGGAGTGCTGTGGCATGTTCAAGGCCACCACAGCCTCAACCTGCTGGGCTCAGGCGATCCTTCTGCCTCAGCCTTCCAAGTTGCTGGAACTACAGGCGCGTGCTACTACTCCTGGCTAATTTTTTGATTTATTGTAGAGACGAGGTCTTGCCAAGTTGCCCAGGCTGGTCTTGAATCCCTGAGCTCAGGCAGCCCTCTTGCCTCAGCCTCCCAAAGTGCTGAGATTACGGGCTGGAGCCACCGCACCCGGCCAGGAATGTGATTTCTAGCAAATCTTATATGGTGGAAAAGACTGAAATGCTTTTTTGAGTTTGTTGTTGTAGATTTACTTTAACACCTTCATCTCAATCTGATTTGTATTAGGGCCATAGAACTTACTTTAGTAGATAACTTGCAAATGAGATATTTGACGGCTGATTTTCCTGATCATCATTGTAAATTTGAAGGATTATATACTGGATATTCTAAACTTGTTTTAACTCAGCTATTAGTGGACTTCTAGTGAGTTGGCAAGGGATGTCACCATAGGAGTACAGCCATAAGAGTCTGTCTTACTCATTTTTTTCTGCCCACCACTGTGCTTAGCATTGTATCTTGCAAGTAGTAGTTACTCAAATATCTTTGGATATATGAGAGGATGTCAATGAAGATTTTCATTTAAATGTTTTAAATAACAGTTGGAAAATGAACTAAAATCAACTTTGTCTTGAAGTTTGATCACAACCTGAGAATTGGCTTTAAGGAGCTATATTTAGTATGAGTTGATTTTCCTAAACTCCTATGATTTAACCTTTCTCTTAACACGAGGGAAAGATTTCTGTAGCTAGGAATTTTATCTTTCTACTTGGCTCAAATATCAGTGAGGTCCTTATAAAAACACTCAAGTGATTTCCTCTGTGCACTCTACCCACACGGAAAATATTATAGTCAGTCAATCAGGTTTTCCTAAAATTCAACATTTGTTTTTCCTTGTACCTGTTTTGCCGAAATGTTTATCATAATATGAAAGATAAAATGAATATGTCAAGCAATCTTAGCTTGCCACCTCAAAATGTTTTCCCTCTCCATAACAGTCTTGGCTATCAGGAAAAAAAACCCAAAAACTTTTTAATGAACTCCTCACATAGCTCACATATAAAGATTTTATCCAGTCACAGGAGAAGGACATTTAGCTAAGGCTAATGTTTTGATTGGAACATACAAAGCAGGCAGGGCTGAAATTGGACAGGAGTCAGGCTAGGGAACCTTCTCAGGTTCTATGGGTCTTTTCAAGTTTGGACTCATTGTTTTGTTATTTTGGTGAGTAGCCAGAAGGTCAAATGTATATTTATTAAAATAAAGTTACTAACATTTGTTAGGAAGCTATGCTAGATGATTTTAGTATGTCCTTCCTCATTGATATTACGAAAATGGTAAGAACCATAGTATGTGACTATATAATAAAAGTACCATACCTAAAATTAATGTCATTACAAATGCTAGATATTAATATGTCAGCCCAGCGTTCACTTGAATGATCTATGCATGGTTCATTTGTCAGTTTCTGAGAATTGTTGAACTCTGATAAAGTGAAGCACTGTGGTAGGAGAATTTTGTTTTAGATGACTTCATTTTTTGCTGTCTACAGAGACTTTTAGGAAAAAAAGCAGTGTGCTGCTCATTTTCAACCAGTTTACAGTAGACCATATGCCATGGGGCTTAAATCATTCTTGAGTAGTAGCAGATTATTCTCTTTAAATGATTGAACAACTTCCTGTTTATCTTCCTTCTCAATTTTAGAATGGTGAAAGTATCATGGTTGAACTTGCAGCAGGACATTTTGGAAATAATGAAAAGGTAGGGATGACAATTAAACAGAAATGGATGCCCAATATATGTATGTGTATCCAGTTAATACTTTTGCCTTCCTGTGTAACTTATTGGTCACGTAGTGCATGTTAAGGTATCGTAAAGCTTATTTCTCACAAAATATAGCCCTTTTCTTAGTTATTCTAAATTATTAAATACCTATTGACTTGGGTTTCATCCTAGAATGATGGAAACTTGGTGGAAGCCACTGCTCAACCCTCAGCTCCCCATGAGAAAGTAAGGATTGTATTTCAGATATGTTCATTGGACTTTAAAGCATACCCTCTGAGACAAGACTCTTCTTTGGGGGAAAAAAAAATCCAGATTGTCAAAAAAAATTTGTTTCAAGGCCTGAGTCCTTGGTAAAAAGAAAAAAAAAGAGGCTAAATGTGGGGATAGTAGATTTATACTGTTAATCCTACATGTGAGTTGGATTTCATTTTTCCAAAACTGTATTATCTATTTCTTTTAAGCCTTCTATACACTCAGAGTATGTGTGTATGTGTGTGTGTGTGTATATGTATATGTGTAGTTTGTGTCCTCTGATTTCAAGTTCTTTTAAAATGTCAATTTTTAAATGTTAAATATTCTAATCATTCCTTTTCTAAAAGTACTGGAATAAAGATTGCCAAGAGGTTTATTGGTGACCTTTTTTTTTTTTTTTTTTTTTTTTTTACAGTTGCCAGTAGTCATCAGAGTACCAAAGCTGATGTATTTCTCAGTTATGAGTGTATGCCTCATGCCTGTTTCAATATTGGGTTTTGGAGACATTATTGTACCAGGTAAGCAATTGTAACAATTTTAGTAAAAAATACACTCACTGGTGGTTTAAACTTGTCATATGTATAGTATCTGTTAAAAGTTACCTACGCTGTATTAAGTATTTCTGCTGTTGCTAGAGCTAGGATTAGTGACAAAGATAGAAAGAAACATATTTAGGAATAGAAGATAAAACCCAAATGGTAATATCTCCCTTGGTTTAAAATGTGTCTTTGAGGAAGCAACTGGAATCAGTTTAACCTTCCTCTCCCAGAAAAGTATATTTGTGACCCTGTGACCCTTTTTGGAAGTTGAATAGAGTAATCCAAACATGCAGTTTCTGTTACTTCTATTTTAAAGTAATAGTTACATTTTAGGAAAAATCATCTGGGATTACCAGGCAAGATCATGATCAAAAAGAGAATGTCGTGGAACACCAACGTGTTGGACTTCATAACACAAAAGACTCAGTTTATAGTGGAATCAGTTGCCTCCTAGCATGTCCTTTCTGACAGTTATTACAGTTCTGCCTTACTTTCCCTACTGGGTTGCCTATAGAATAAACTTAATCCAAGCCCAATAGTAATTTAATTTAGAAGTAACTAATACTATTTCTCTATCAGATGAGTTTTTCTGTCACTTTTCTTTTTTTTTTTTTGAGTTGGAGTCTCACTGGCCGCTCCTGGCCACCGCAGCCTCGACCTGATGGGCTCCGGCAATCCTTCCGCCTCAGCCTTCCAAGTAGCTGGAACTACAGGCG